TGTTCTTTCCAAAGTGTAAGTCTATTTATGGCAGGCCTCAGTCAAAAACCCTTTGGTAACACTTGTGTTTCAGGATAAACTGCGAATTCCTTAGCTCAGCACATGACATTCTTTTTGATCTGGCCTGTCCCTGCTGCTCTGGCCTTGTTTTTCATCACTTCACTTCGTACCTTCTTTTCATTTTATGGAATGAACTGTACTGTCACATCTCTGCCTTCCATGCTGTCCCCCTGCCCCTCTTCTTTCTTCACTTCCTAATATCCATTGATTCTTTAAAACTCATTTTAGGTGTTCTCCCCTCTGGGGGATTGTGTGACACTCTCAGGTCGGGCTCCATGCCCTCATCTTTGACATCCCAGTCATCCTAACTCCATTTTGGTCGTTAGTTTACCGGACTATGTTTCCGTACGAGATGGAGACATCTTTGAAGGAAGAGATCCCGTCTTACTCAGTTTTGTATTCCTAACACCTAGAATGGTATTCGGCTCATAGTCGGGCCTCAGTAAATAATTGTTTCTCTAGGGGTAAGGAGTAAGTAAGGGGGAGGTTAAGGCCACATTAGATGATTTTTGCCATCAGTCAGAATATGCCATTTCCTAGAAGGGAACTGTGATTAAATCACAGTGACTGATTTGTCAGAGCCCAGCTAAATTTTTCACCTTTAATTTTAGTTTTTTTGTGCAGTACACCACAGGATGTAGCTTATTATCTGGATATTTATATTTTGGATAAATATGTTGTAAGAAAAGGCTGAATCCAGATGATGCTACGGCAGAAAGGTCCCGTAGGAGACTTGGTTGGGTCTAGCTCATACTTCTTTTGTCAAATCTTATTGTATATTTGTTTGAAATAAACTACTTGGCTATATTTTTGAAGAAAAAATATGTAATTCCATAAACCCGATCAAGTGATAGGAGTGAAACTGCTGCGTACTGAGTATCTGTAGGAAAATCATTCTTACTTTGGTCTAAGAGAAGTCTAAATACTTGAATTGAGAGAGAAAGTGTCTACCAGAGTTAGTCATTCAGCAAGTATTTACTGAATGTCTTCTATGTGGGAGGTGTTATGGAAGGATAGGTACTGAAAGGAATATGGAAGCAGAACATTCTTTTTGAGGCAGAGTGGTATAGTAAAAACAGGGTTAATTTGGCATTATCACTAGCTATGTTTTTTTTTTCCCTGATTGTTAATGTTTTGAGAATTTAATAGAAGTATGTGTAAATCTGCTCTCTCAACTGCAATGCTCTAACGAATTTAAGATGATTGTCTTTCTCTTGTTTTTATTCTCAGTATTTCTTGCTGATTATTTGATTCTTTTGAGACAGTGTGATGTATTTGATAAAGAACTCTAATGTCTTTGTACCAAATAAAAAATGTATGTTATTGGTAATGCGATTTGTATATAAAATGATTATAAGAATTGGATTCTATGCTGGGGGCTTTTACTTTAGAATATGTGGGAAAAATACATTACTCAAACTTACTGTCTCCTTTCCATTTTAGGTTGACTGTGCATTGTCACTTATTCGACTTGGAATGGAGCGGAATATCCCTGGTTTGCTGGCTCTCTGTGATAATTTGGTTACTCTGGAAGCGTTGGTTTATGAAGCTGGGTGTGATTTAACCCTAACCCTGAAAGAACTCCAGCAGATGAAAGACATTGAAAAACTCAGATTGCTGATGAATAGCGTAGGTTTTATTTTAACTTTCTTTTTAGGCATTCCTTGTGTGCTCTGATTAATGTGTGTCTCAAAGCCAAAGATGTGGTGTTCTTCAACCCAGAGAACTTAGTCAAGGTTTCTAGACTTAAAAAAAAAACCAAATATAATGAGTAAATAACTGAAGGCATCCAAAACCATTTTGGCTATTTTTACACCTTCTTTGCCCTTCACTCATATGCGTCAGATGTAACTTTTTCCCCCTCCCTTCTAGCTAGGCATATTTCTAAACTAGCTGTCAGTCTAGAAATGGTGTTTCTAATCCTTCTGTTAAAATTCCCAACTACTTATATTTATTCCAATATCTTAAAAAAAAAAAAAAGTACCGGAGTCCAGAGGGCTGGCTGGGTGGTTGTGTGAAGAAAGCATCTTGGCTCCAGTGTTGAGCACACACAGGAGCATTTGCCCTGCCATTGTTAGATTTTTGGAGGAGTCGCTTCTGGGGAGAAAGTACAGTCTTCAGAGTTAGGAACTGATTCCTACTAAGTCCGCTGAGTAGAGAGGGCCACCTCTGAGACAAGAATGTTGGGCCTTGGAGGTGCTGGCTGCCAAGCGATGCTCTTTTGAGCCTTTTGCTCTCGGGTGCCTGGCTTGAATGGGCTGGAGAAAGGGGTGCGGCTGGACCTGCTCTCGCTCGTTCTTTCTTTTCCCATACTTTTTTCTCATTTCCTTTTTTTCTCATCCCTCTCACCATCTTTTTTTCCTCTTACCAACCACCCTTTTCTCTCTCCTTCTATCCCTACCTTCCTTTTCTCTTGCTAACTTCTTTTCATCAAGATCCACCCAATGAAAATTAAGTTGTTACATGCAAGACACCACTTAAGAGATTCAAGCGTTTCTCCTGAGATAATTAAGTGAAGAGACTGTGGAGTTTCAGGGATAATAAGCAAGATGATTTGCGTCATTTGGAGTTTTTGAAGATGGACGTGCAGGGGTAGAACAAACAGAAGAGGAAAAGGACGGGAGAGAGTCTAGGATTTTATGGATGAGACTCTTTCCTCAAGTGGCTCCTTTCCAGAGTTTCTTTATGCTTGTTCTCTGCCCTTTTCTGTTTCACACCTCCTGTTGGCCTGCGGTCTTTCTCTTTCCGTCTCTGATTCTTTTAACACAAACACACGCGTACACTGTGGGATGGGGCCCCTCTGTGCTCCGGAAGACCTCGTGACTGACTGGTAGTAGCAGCATCAGCGTGTCTGTCTTCCAGAGCTGGGTTCAGGCCGTGAGGCCCCAGAGTGACCGTGGCATGAAGAGGTGGGCCTCCGCGCACTGCTGTTGGGGGCTCAGGCAGCCGCGGGCGGAGGCTGGTTCTCCTGCCGCCTCTGTCTTCTTGTGAGGGGGGAACCGGAGTGTCTGTTTTAGAAAGCATTGGGCTTTTATTGTTTAACCTGAGTCTGATTATCTTTGAGTTCTGTAACTTGCTGTCTGTTATTATCAGGTGTTTAACGTGTGTTTTGCTTTGGTTAATTACACTTACAGTGTTCCGAGGACAAGTATGTGACAAGTGCCTACCAGTGGATGGTTCCCTTTCTGCATCGTTGTGAGAAGCAGTCTCCCGGCGTGGCTAATGAGCTCTTAAAAGAGTATTTAGTAACTTTAGCCAAAGCGGACTTGAAATTTCCCCTGAAGATATTTCAGCATTCCAAGCCTGATGTAAGTAGAAACTTTAACTTCTTAAAAATCTCTGTACTTTTTCCCCTACAGAATTAGGTTTTATTTCTCAATTTTTTTAATAATAGGCTTTGCAAGTAATTTCCCTTTAAACAGAAAAGGAAATAGTTGTCATTTTATTCTTTAAAAATGTTTCAGCAGTTGAGTCAAAAATTTTGGGGAAGTTCATAAGATTATGTTTATCTTAATTGATTTACTCCGAAGTCTGTTCACTCTACTATATTATGGAAAAGGCAGTATCAAAAAGACTAATAGTTGTAAGGTATTGAGTTCTTACTAAGGGCAGGTGCTTTACAAGTATTAAATCATTTAATCCTTATAACAATCCTCTGAGGTAGTTATTTTTATAACATTAATATTAATAGAAAAGGAAAATCGTGATATGGAGTGGCCAGGCAATTGGCCAGGGTCATAGTGAGGAGTGGAACTTGGGTTCAAATATAGATTTTCTAATTTCCTAGCTGTGCTCTTAACCATATGCTTTATCATAACCCCAATAGGAGGAGAAAAGGTTTTTGCCATTGAGGGCCTTCAAAATATTTATTAAAATCTTTAAGATCTCATAGGATCTTGTAATTACTCTTTTAAAAATATTTCTATTACTGATTTATTTATTTATTATTATTGTTTTTAACAGAGGTATTGGCAGTTGAACCCAGTACTTTGTGCATGCTAAGCACGTGCTCCACCACTGAGTTATACCCACCGCACTCTTGTAATTATTCTTAATGATGCTTCTATGTGCTTAAGACTGATCTATCTATATTTCTATAGGGTTTAAATAGTTGTTCAGATTTGCCGGAGGTAAGTCATTTGTTATGTGCAGCCTACTTTTGCAATGTACGTGACCTCTTAATTTAGCCACAAATCAATGCTGTTTCAAGGGAGAGTGGCTCCCTTTTCATTGACTCAAGCAAGTGGTGTAATTACTCGAAGCACTGACTTCGTAGTGAGATTTAAAGTGTTAGGTTGGGGTTCATGCAGGAGCCATTGAAGGCCCCTCCCAGTCCTAAATTCTAACTGAATGTACTTCTTGTACTGCCTTTGTTAGCAATCTGAAGTCCTCGAAGCTGTATGGTCGTGGACCAGAATAATCAAGATAAGAAGGAAAACATTGCTTAGTTAACCTCACACATTCTTTGGTTTCTGAAAGGGTTGTCTGTTGGAAATATCTCTGTTCGTTGGCTGTTTAGAGTTCTCCATCTTCTCATAAGCAGTTTCCACTTAGTATTCTGACTTTAAACGTGGCATGGTTTACTGTGAACCGAGGGTGGGTTGCTTATGGCAACCTGTGTGAGAAGCAGGATGGATTGACTGTGAATGTTTTATGAGGAAGAAGGAAATGACTTCAGATTCTTTCCAGGAATCTTGTTTGTGATCCTTCTTCCTTACGGAGTCTCACAAATCCTTTGTATGTAGTCAGCTTTCTGTTTTTACTTGGCAATTTTGCATGTGCCTTTTGAATAAAACATACAGCCATTTGCCTTTGTTGAAATACGTCAACATCGGGGCAGAGAACAACCGTGTTGCTGGGCTCCTCTTTTCCAGTCCCACCTATTTCTCTCCATGTTATCTTTCCGCAGCACAGTTTTGATCATGTCATGATCTGTGGAGAATCTCTGGTGGCCTACCATTGCCTGCAGGCCACCAGAGATTCTCCGTAGATCATGACATGAAACGGTGGGCTCTCCAGAGTGGCTTGGAAGGTTCTCTGCCATCTGTTTCTAGTCTCTGTCTTCAGCCTCATTCCCCTCCATGAATGCACTAGTCCACTCCCACTAACTCCTCACCTCTTCGCCCTGTCAGGTTCTTTCATGCCTCTTTGTGTTCTAGGCTATTTCATTTGTTTGGGATGGTCAGGCTCCTTTCCTCATTTAACAAATACCTACCCATCCTTCAAGATCCTGCTCTCCAGGAGTTTTATGACGTGTTTTTAAAGTCTGATAAGGGTAGTCATCCTCTGTAGTATTTTTTCCCCAGTTTTTTTAAAGTTGTTTTTGTATATTTGTGTTTCTGTCTGAATTTTAGTATAGTGTTAAAGTCACTCTATTCAAGAATAGGGGAAATCATTCTATTTGCTCATATCTTTCTCAGTGTCTTTCAGGAGTGTTTAAAATTTTTCCTCATAGAGGTTTTGCACATTTCTTGTTAATTTATTACAAAGCACTTGATTTTCTCTGTTTATATTACAAATTGAGTTTTCTTTACCCTCATTTCCTCTGTTTATTGTTTGTGTACATGAAAGTTACTGATTTTGTATTCAGCTACTTCTCTGATTTTTTTTGTTGCTTGCTTCTCCAGGGTTTTCCAGGTATTCTATCTTGACGTCTATTGTTCTTTCTCTTGTTGTCTAGAAGTACATAATTTTAAGACTTTATTTAAAAAATTATGACTTTCTTACATTTTAGCTTGCTCTGCAATATGGGAGGTAATTTGCTGCCCATGGTGGGGAAAACTTACTGTCTTCTTAGAAAGTCCTAGGTGGGCTCTCTTACATTAACTTGAGGTAGAGCAAATGTGATGGTTTAATAATGACTGCTGAGTTACAGGCACAAGAATGATGGAAATAAAGAGAAGTGTCTTACACTATATAAACTTAGACATCTTGTAGAGACTCTAATAAGACAACAATGAAAAGGGTCTTAAATGTGAGCCTTATGATTCATGTACACAGTAGATTGTATTAAGAAAGGTATGCTGAGTGGCACAGGAAGCAGAGAAAAAGGTTCCTAAGGAGAACAGAGAGGAAACAGGATTCATGTACGACCAAGTGCCTGGAGAAGGCATTCCAGGTAGGAGTAGAATAAGACAAGGAGACATAATCAGACTAATACCATATTTAGATAAAGGCAAGTAATTCAACTTGCGTGAACTAAAACCTTGAGTAGGAAGGTTCATAGGACCAGGAAAGTGGGTCGGCACCGGGCCACGCAGGAGCTTGAGTGGAAGGCACAAAGATGACTCTTGATCTTTCATGGTGAAGGTCTGCTGAAGGGTTTGCAACCCAGGGTTTTGAACATACCTGATCAAATATGGGCTCTGGAACATTTAACTCTCAAGCGACACATTAATGTCTCAGGGAGGGAAAGACAGGAGGCAGGAAGACAGAGGAAAACATCAAGGACTCTGGCTTCATTTTCAGCTGGTTTCCCAAGTTGTTGCTTGGCTGAAACTGGTTTCAGTTTTTCATCTTCCCCAGATGCTCTCTCACCATGTATGAGTTGTTTACTACCCTGCTTTTCTCAGTCTCTCGCCCTCCTCTGCACATGAAGCTCTTCTCCAGGGTGATGAGAGCCTATGCTTAGCTTCAGCTCCAGAGCCAGTCGCTCACGATCCAGTGCTGGCTTGACCGTGACCAGCTCTGGGACTCGAGCCAGTTGTTTGTCGTCCCGGTGCCTTGATTGTCCTTTTATGTAAAATAAATGATACCAGTACTGACCTCACAGTGTTGTTTCGAGGGTTTATGAATTAATGCATGTAAAATGCTTAGAAATAGTACCTGGCACACAATAAGAAAATGGGAAAAGTTAGCTAGTTCCATTAATTTTTTACTAATATTTACTTTTATTGTGCCCTGCCTGTCCCTATTTCACCAGCTTGTCATTTTGCGACCTTGGATAACTAACTCTTTGTCAAGTGCTGTTGTTAAATTAATGATATATTTCTTTTTTTTTAATACCAGAAGACATATATGTATATAACTCCTTTAACCCCACTATGTTAGAAAACCTTTCTTCCCTGGTAACCTTGAATGTTTATTTCTGTCCGTTTTTTTCTTTTCATCCACTGATGTGATTTTTTTTTTTTTTTACTAAGAAACTGCCTTTTCTTGGCAGCTTCTCTCCATCACTTTCCGATCTGTTTTGTGAGTTTCTACTAAAATGTTGTAGATCTTTATTATGGAAATTAAACGTATTTTGTTGTTGAAAAGGGCTTAAAGAAAATAGTTTCAAACTTCCATTTTAGTTTTGTGGTGATAATATCAGCATTCTACATGTATTGATTTATTTCATCCTCACAACAATGCTATTAGGAAGATGTTAATATCCCAGTTTTATAGATGAGAAAAACAAGGCTCAAATCTGTTATTTTTGTATCCCAGAAAATACTCTTAAGAATGAGAATCTGTGGTTTGCAAGGTGAAGGTGACCCAGCATAGCACCTTTCTGCATCAGAAATACGGAGTATATTCTGTGATATCCATGTTATTACATCACAGTGTGACTTCTTTCAAATAAGATGTCAGTACTGTTTAGTTAAATGACTAATGTATAATGCATACTGAAAAATAGCAGGTTTGAACATCTCTGAATATTAGTTAAGGAATTTTATATATTTTTTGTGATTGAAACACATAAAATTTGGCTTTAGGGTTAGAAATGTTTTTAATGAATTACCTTTTTAATTCACTGTTTCTTCTATCTGCTTTATCTTGAATGGGTCATAAATTGAAGATTCTATTTTCAACAGATGCAGAGCTTTTGGGCACAAATTATCTTTTCTAGCTGTTCTGTAATTAAAATTCAATTTCATTTAGAATTATTAAAGACCCCAAAAGTCTGAAAGCTAAAGAAAAACCAAGATTTGTTTCTGCAGCTGATTAATTGCATTATTTAATATTCTATTGACATTAGTACTGGAATATGGAAAAACTGACTGTAAACCCATTGACGTTTAGTACAACATGCTTTATATTCTCTAGTTGCAGCAAAAAATCATTCCTGATCAGGACCAACTGATGGCAGTAGCACTAGATTGCATCTATAACTGTGAACGAAATGACCAACTCTCTCTTTGCTATGACATCTTAGAATGTCTGCCCCAAAGAGGATACGGGTAAGAACCCACAGTACATTGATTTTATGGTTGTGTCTTTTTACTCGAACGGTTAAAATGAAAATGTTGCTTCCCTGAATGTTCATTGTAGAGACTTTTGGGAATATAAAAAAAAATAAAGAAGAGAATGAAATCATCTTGCAAACCTGTTGCCTAGGGATGAACTTCTGTTTTTCTAACAGTATATGGGAAGTAACTGTAGTTTTGTCAACATTGATAATTAATTATCCATTAAAACACAAACAAAAATGCCACTGCCACCACAAAAAAAAGTAGTTCCTTAAGTGGATAGTTAATGATACCTCTTTGTGGGAAGTTGTGTTTCTAATTAAGCATTTTTTCACATTTGTGGACTAGTATATTTATTTCTTCTATGAATTGTTTTTGGCCCTTACCTAGAGTAAAACTTTAAAGTAGTAATGTATGAATATACATAACTTAGTTTTTTCTTTCCATTGTATTGAGATATAATTAACATATAACACTGTGTAAGTTTAAGGTTTATAACAATGACTTGGCTTACATACATTGTGAAATGATTAGCGCAATAAGTTTAGTTAAAAAGCATCATCACTTACAGATACAAAAAAGAAAACCTTGTGTTTTTTCCTTCTGATAAGGACTTTTAGGATTTACTCTCCTAGCAACTTTCAAATATAACATACATAAGTGTTAACTATAGTCCTCATGTTGTACATTACATCCCAGTACTTATTTATCTTATAACTGGAAGTTTGTGCCTTCTGACCACCTTCATTCAGTTCCTCACCTCCCACTTCTGGTTACCACAAATCTGATCTCTCTTTCTGTGATTTTTTTTTAAGATTCTGCATATAAGTGAAATCATAGAGTGTTTGTCTTTCTCTGTCTGACATATTTCACTTAGCATAAAGCCCTCAAGGTTCATCCATGTTATCATAAATGGTGAGACTTCCTTCTTATTTATGGCTGAATACTATTCCTGTGTCTGTCTGTGAGTGTGTCTGTGTGAGTTATCAACATTTTCTTTATCCACTTCATCCTTTGATGGACACTTAAATTGAGTCTGTGTCTTGGCTATTATAAATAGTGATGCAGTGAACATGGGGTGCAGATAGCTCTTTGACATAGTGATTTTGTTTTCTTCAGATGTGTACCCAGAAGTAGAATTGCCGAATCATGTGGTAGTTCTATTTTTAATTTTTTGAGGAATGCATATACAAAATTTTTAACTGGGCTTATGTTTAAATAGAAATTTATGTAACATTCTTTTGGATCATTTAGTTATATGCAAATCAGATTTCTATTTTCTCTTTTGAAGTCACACAAGAATCATTCCTTTAATCTCTCTTCTAACATGTAGTACATATTATAAATTTGATATTTGGAGAAGTTAATAAGAGTACATGAAAGAACACTGAATGAACATTTAGTGTACCTGTTTCTAAGCCTTTGTGGCTTCTTCTGAGTCACTTAACTTCTCTGGTCATTCGTTTTCTCATTTGCAAAATCAGGTATTTAGACAAGAAGTCCTCATGCTCTGTTTTCTCATTTTCTTTGCTCTTTATTTTTCTGCTGTCCCTGTCTTCTTCTCCCCCCCTCTCTCTTCCTTCCAAGGAAATTTTTATTTTTTTGTGAAATGAATGCTAGAAGTCACTAATTTTGCAACCCAGTGTGAAATTATTTTTTTCATGTAGTCGTTAATGGTACAGAAATCAGGTGAAAAATTGATGGGAAAAGGATAAGGCTGAAATTTTCCCTAGTCAGCATAATATTGTTATATGTTAAGTAAAAGGGGAAACTTTTTTTTCTAACTTAGTGAGTTTGGTATTTTAGGTAAAGAGCTACTATTAAAACTTAATTTTAATTCTTTTTTCTTAATCCTTTAGTCATAAAACAGAGGTAACCACAGCTCTGCATGACATGGTAGACCAGCTGGAACACATTCTCAGGTGAGAAAAATGAAAGAT